TGCCAGTTAAACCGAAGACCCAATACTATTATGGGCTACTGGACTCTTTTAGAATATTTTGCTGAGTTTACACACCTATAACATTCAATAACGGAACTTAGAAAAAATGGGTTATACAGATGCATGTCCATTTTGTATCTGTGTATTCAAAGTGGTTAGGCTAGATATATAGTTGCATTCTCTTAATGAATAGAATGATTTGTTCTAATGGTGTTTGTAAATAGGATCTCAAGTCCGCATCTTGTACAACAATTAACCAGTAAGAAGAATATATGCAGTGTGTTATTTGTTGAAACTGTACTCCTGATTTGATTTGAAACTGTCTCATTGCTATCTGTTTATCAATAAAATTTTGAAAAACAAAAAAACCCAATTAAGTCAATCCGACCTACCCAAATAAAACTGCCAAGGCCACAGTTTACTTAGTCTCTCCAGGTTCAGCTGACTAAAGTTTAACTTAGTTTACCTGTTGTGCTGAGGACTGAACATAATGGCCTACACATGCTAGTCAAAGGCTCTATTAAGGAGCTACATTCCCAGCTCTGGAGCTTAGTTTTACATCTCTCTATAAAGTCATGGATTCATCTGAGATGTAAACTCTGACTTTTAACTTAACTTACAGAAAAAGCAGAAAGTCAATTGTAAAAATATAAAAAGCTGATCTATTATAAAATAAATATTTTAATATTGTACCCCAGTACTAATTTATTAAAATGACACTTGTCAATGGTTTTGACATTTTTTGAGTAGACACTAAAATGTCATGACAAAAAAATGCTGAAAATCTATGAACTTCACTGGATTCTATAGTTTCATATTTACTTTGAAATCATATCACTATGAAGTACACAGAGTAACCATAATAAAATATTTTTTTAAGTTAAAAAAAAAAAGATCCTAGACCCTCACTCTCCATACTTAGTTTCACTTCCTAAATTGACCTTCATGCAAAATAGGTTGCTCATCACTCAGGTCAAAGGATACAATGTTGAGGTCTTGATAAAATAGAGCCTTGGGATGGCCAGAGGGGTGTCTTAGATCATTTGTCAAGGCATATTTCATGTGATTCTCAATTCTCCTTGAACAAGTACATAACAACAATGCACAGTTATGTATCTGTCATTAGATAACAAGAAGAAAATGAAAAATAAGAACTCCCTTGACTTTTCTTAAGGCATTTAAAAAAGTAACAAAATACTGGCAATGGATACCACTATTTTACTTACATCCCTTTACTCCTTCCATCCACTCTTTCATTCAAGCAGCCACTGTGGACCTGCTAAGGGTCACACATGTTTGCTCCCACGGATTCCAAGAGAAACAAGACATGGTCTGCACCTTCAGGAAGCCCACCATCTGATGGGGAATGAGATGTTTCTAACAGTAAGTGTGATACCTTTGGTAAAGGTCAAGCTGGTATTCATTCATTAGTATATATTCTATCATGTCATGTGTACACTGGAGAAAGGGAACCCAAGGGGCTAGACTTGAGGGCCCTGACCTCAATCTTTACAATGCTCAGTGTCCCTTCTCTGCCCACTTGTTGTTTTTTTTTTCTCTGCCCACTTGTACAGAGTATAAAATGTACTGTGCTGTCCATCATCAAAACCCATTACAATCAGTGCTCGACTCCAACAAAGTCTCTACTCTTCCATGCATGACTAGACCCCTGGGGATAAAATGTCTTCATTTTTTGAGGATAAAATGTCTTCACAGTACACAAAAGCACTGCCAGCACACAATTAACTTTAACAGTGGAAAAATTTTAGTTCAATTTCAGAAATAAAAACTTGAAAAAACAAATGTAGAGTTTAGATAGCCCACAGAAAGAAAAAGCAAGGTATTCTGTGGAAAGAAAAAAAGAAAATCAAGAGGTACTGTGCCCCAGAACACTGGCATGGGGGAGCTACAAGTGAGCATCCACTATGGGGACAGAGGGATGAGAGTCTGAGCTCGTGCAAGATCATAAATTCACAGTAATTCTCTCTGCATTTGGGTCTTTTCCTGAAGAAATTCTATTCTTTTTTGTTCTTCTAGTGAGCTTTCAGTTTAGAACCCATATTTCTCAGTATAACCTCCTCAAGGGTCTTCTTCAGAGAAAAAACACTTTACAATTTTCATAAACTCAATTTTTATAGATCATGAGCATTTTTCTCTGAAGTATTACTTTTCAGACATCTATTACTTTATTTAATAGATGTGGTCTTCCTATAAAGATCAATTTTATTATTTTACACATATTCTTACACAGATAAAAACAGTGGGCAGGTCAAAGAACCAAAGATTGTTCCCAAAAGGAAATAACTGAGGGCCGGCAAAATAGCTCAGCAGGCTAAGTGCCTCTTAGGCGAGCGTGGGACCAGGATCCTGGGCACCACATGCCACACCAGCCTCTGCCCCTGGGTGCACTGAGCCTACCACTGAGACTGGGCGTGGTGGCACATGCCTGTAATCCCAGTGCTGGGGAGCTGAAAACAGGAGGATCACTACGAGTCAGAGCTGCGTAGTGAGACCCTGTACCAAATACATACATACATACATATGTTAAAATTTTTGAAATGAAGAAACAACTGAATTACATTTCTATTTGTCCTTCTGCAGAAAGGCTACTCTCATTAGCATTTACTAATTTCACACTAATATAAAATTCATAGGTTACATGGAAATACTGAAAAGATTTGCATTTTACTTTATCCACTGTAACTTAAACCAAAGACATAATTAAAATAATCACGGCAACGTTAAGAAAACTATTATTCATTCATCTACTATTTGTCAAAATCTATTTTTCTATCAGTTCATTGCCATGTAACCATCTAATTATAAACAGGTCCAGGCAATTAAAAAAATTAGTCTGGAATAATCAGGATGAAGGCTTAGAGGAAATTAAGAAGTAGATACAAATGTCTGAACTGTAAAATATGGACATCCGGGTTGGAAATAAAGGGTTATGTGTGAAAACATTTAGGAAAAGCTTATGCGTGGACTAAAGTGTACTGGATCCACTGCCAATTAGCTGGTGAATCAGAGATTTTCCTAAACCATCACCATTTCCTAAACCATCCTAAACCATTTCCTAAACCATCACCATTTCCTAAACCCTCACCATTAGCTGACAGGCAACAACACACTCTCTGTCGATGCTTTTTAAAAATGAGTTGTGTGAAGCATTCTGCCCTGAAGTGGATCTTTATTTGGGCTTTTGGTATTTCTACACATTGTTTTATGCTTTCTGTCTTCGGCCGCCTCGAGCTATTCCTGGCCAAAACAGATGTACTAATAATCCGTTAATGAAAAGTACAACAAAGAATGGCCCTGATTATGGCCACTTACTAAGCTATTTCTACAGCAGCTGCTTGGAAGCGCGGTGTCCTTGGAGTAGCGCCGATCACAGATCACAGGCTCCGTCGGGGTGTCCTTCCTCCTCCCTTCCAGAGCGCTGCAGGCTCCGCTCGCGGGGGCGGCGGAGGGGGCCCAGTCCTTTGTTCGCCATGGCGGGGAGGGGCAGTGGGAGGGCGGGACCCGCGCGGCGAGGGGCGGGACTTGGCGAGCAGGCTCTGGCACCGCCCCTCCCGCGTTCGACACGCCCCCTTAAAGACACAGTGCCCAAATCTCGAACCCCGGCGTTCTTCCTGGCAGCGCCGCCTGGGGTCTGCAGGGTTCCAGTTGCGCCCGCTCGGCGAGGATGGGAGGGGCTGCTGTTCCCTGCGAGTGTGTTATTCATCGTCCTGGACCTGGCAGTGGCGTGCATACACCCACCCTCCCACCCGCATCCGCCTGTCTTGCTGCCCTCCGGGTCCCTGCTCCGGGAGGGAAAAAATATGTCTTCTGCAGCAGCTCCCAGCCACTCTGCCAGTTTTCTCTATTCCGTGCTCTAGTCTGAAACACACACTTTCCCCTCTATTTTCAGCTTTTAAATTTTTTTAAAACTTTGAGACCAGGTCTGGCCAAGTCGCTAAATTACTCGGAATAGGCTCGAATTTGTGATCCTCCTGCCTCAGCTTCCTGGGGTGCTGTGATCCCCTTTTTGAAAGCGTTCACAGGTTAAACCGACTTCAGAGGGGGAAGGGAAGTCTTGATGCATAGTATTTGCTGTTTCAATGGTGTAGCTACTCCTGCCATACCTCATTTCTATCTGCAAATGGATTAACACTTGGAGCCATGAGACGCTTGGGAGTAACAGCTCTGGACACCACTGTCACCTGTGACTCGCTGCTCTCCCGCTATTGGCCAAGGCAAGTAACTTGACTGAGTTTGCAGCCAATGGGCAGGAAGAAAGCGTCATTCTTGAGAGCAACAAGTGGCGGGCCGCAAACTCAGCAGTACTAATCCACCTCGCCTGCTTCGGACCAAACCCCGCCCTCCGCCCTTGTGGTGCTGAGCCTTAAACCCAGGTCTTTGTGAATACCAAGCAGCGCAGCCCGTGCCCCTCAGCGACACCCTTGACCTGTCAGGTTTTCAATGGATTTTTTTCCCTAATGTGCTACATTTGCAGAGTCCACTTAATGGGAGTTTCAAATGATTTCAGAAGGACAAAAACTGATTGGGTATTTTCAAAGGGATCATTTTGAAACGTGCAAGTCAAGTATTAGGTTGCCACTTTCCTTCCGGTCCAAAAGACACTTATAAATGGGGACATCTGATCAGCAGAAAAGTAAATCAGGTTAAACCTGACCCTAAGTCGGGCATGTTTTAATAGGTGAACAGATTTTTAAAGTTTATTTTATCTGGCAATTTTTTTATTGCGTTCTTTATTTTTCACAGTTTTCAGTATATGTTGATTATGGGCAAAGTAGAATTTGTTTTTTTAATGGTAGCTTACTGTGTTCCTCAGGTTCTCAATCTTTCTACTCAGCCTCAGAAGTTGCTGGGATTACAGGAGGGCCCTTTACTCTTGGTTCCCAAACAGCATCTGAGTAGGGAGTCTAAATTTTCAAAAGACCATTCCTGCCTGCGTGAAGCTCACACGCCTCCAATAAAATGGCAGTAGGAAGAATGGGGCAAACAATGTAAGAGAAAGCTTTCAAGGGCAATACTGAATCGAGAATGGCTACATCGTTTTGAAAGTGGTAGTGTAATCAAGACCTGGGAAACGGCGGCGCTTGAACTGCTGCCATCACACATTTATTGTCCTAGGAAGATGTGGTTTGGGCTTTTATTTATTTATTTTAAAGTCCAGAGAAAAGAAGCCTGTCTTTTCGGTTTGATCTGGTGCTTAAACTTTCTATCAGCAGAAATCTCTTCCTTGTACTTTTAAAAGAAATTATAAATAAAATGATAAAATATGTCTCCAACTATCTGCTAACTCTTCCTCATTCCCATTCTTTGTTCAAGTTTCAGCAAGAAAAACACTTCAGTTCTTGTTTGGTTGCGGCAGTTCCCCTGACACGCACTTAATAATATATAAAAACATTTCACTTTCATAGATGACCTTGATTATAACTTGTGCTCTAGAATTTGGCAAAGACTAAGGGCTTGCCTTTTACTGTTAAAGCAAAACATTTGCTCTCCAGATTCTTGCCAGAAATTATAACCTTGAAATCCACTACCTAATCTTTATTGATAAAGCAGTTTAAGGAAAATATGGAACTTGGCTCAGAAACATGAAATTGTAGAGCTGTGTGCTCATCCTTACATGTTTTTGGTACATCCGAAGCACCTTTGGTCTGTAGCTTTTCCTTTTCTTGTGTTATTTGATCTGGTTTTGGTACAAGGATAATAATGGCTTCATAAAATGAATAGAGAAGTGTTTCTCTCTTCTATTTTTTGGTAGGGTCTAAACTTAACCCTATCTGGTAAAGGTGTGAATAATAATAAAAAAAAATTAGAAACAAATAGTAAAGAATGTCTTCCTTTACCAGTGGCTTTTCTTTCTGGGTCCTCTTTTGATTACCAATTTAATGTTTTCATTTGTTGCTGGTTCAGAGTATATCTTCTTGGTCAGTTTTGGTAACTGTTATCTTTTGAAGAATCAGTCCCTTTCATTTGCTCTCTAGTTGGTACAAAGTTGTTCACAGTATTTCTTTGAATCTTGTTGTTTCTGCAAATTGGCAGTAATGTCCAGTCATCTGAGCCCTACATGTGCTTTCACAAAGCTATCTGTTAGGATCATACAGTGGCCTTCAGAGGGGCCCCTTAGAGGAAGTAGCCACATATAATTCATGATCAATGTTAGCGTTGTAGTGTCACCCATGACAGCTGTGTCCCTCATGTTTTCCTGATGTGGCAATGTCTGCATCCCCTGAATAAATGGGGCCTTTGAATTCTGAGGAGGATGATGTAACAGACTGTTTCCGGAGCTGAACAGTGGGAAGTCCGGGTCCAGCCCAGAATCCTTACTCTCTTTGCATCCTACGGTGCTCATAACTAGGTTCCATAAGCTGTGTGACTTACACAGATTTATATTCCCCAGTGTTTTGGAGCTTAGAGGCCAAAGTCAAAGTATTGGTGGGGTTGTGCTAGCCAGTTTGAGAAAAACACTTACGGAGGTTTGCAAAGGATGTGTGTCACAGAACTGTGTCCTTGGGCCACACTCTGGAGAGCAGATAGAAATGATCCTTCTCCTATGGGAATGCTTAGGAAGGCATTAGATGTTAATTTATATTTCTCAGAACTACTAGGAGGAAATGGCTCAGAGATTTGCCCCAGAATTTCAGCTCCTTTTCCGAATCCACAGATCTGACCCTCCACACTGGCTGTAGCTTATTCTTGCCTAAGACGGGGGAAGCCAGGCAGCGGTCAGGGCAGTTTCACCACTGCATCATCACTTGCTTCCCGTCCTGAGGCTGAGATGCCTCCTCCTGGGGCCCTCGATGGCTGCTTCACTTTCTACAGTTAGACTTCCTTATAACATACATGGAAATGAAGGACGGTGATGATCCAACCTGTCTCCTGTGGGACCCACCAAGAAATGTTCTTGTCTAAAAGTTGGGGATACTTTATAATAAAACGGCTATTATCTCAAAAGAAAGTGATGGGTCTTCTAGGCTGTTTTCCATTGCTTTAACAATAGTTGCTGAGGTTGGTATGTTTTAAAGAAAATGGGGGGGGGGGCGGAAAGAAAATAGATTTATTTAGCTCATAGTTATGGATATGTTAGAGCATGGTGCTGGTGTCTGCCCAGCCCTGGTGAAGGCCTCATCATACATGGCATGGGAGTGGTGTGCACAGAGCAATCCTCCCAGGAGCCCTGAGTCAGTGCCCTACCAAGGTGATACCTGTGGCCCAGCCACTTTCCAGGAGTCCTGACCACACTGGGACCAAACTCCCAGGACAAACAAAAGGCATCTGGGGAACCTTTGGGGGGACATCCTCAGACTGTGTCCAAACCATAGCAGGAGAAGGAGAGAGGGGAGGAGAAAAGAAAGAAGGGAGGAAGGAGGGAGGGGCAGAACTTCCTGTTCGCACTCACCTATGTGTCACTGTCTGTAGGAGAAACTTGTGCTTGGATAAGAACAACAACATGGAGTAGGCAAGAGTCAGAGGCGCGCAGCGAGCCTGGACCCCAGGAGCAGAGCCGTGCAAGTGGTGGTGGGTGGCATCTTTCCTGCTGGGCTAAAGTTCTGGCCTGGGCACCCCCAGGCTTTTCTCACCATGACTCCAGCGCCCATCTGCAGCTGTGGCCAGGGTTGGTGTGGCCAGAACCCTCGTGGGCAGACCGTCCAGACAAGCATCCAGATTTTACAAATGCCTTTTGCCAGAGGAGATGATAAACTTGCAGGAAGAAGTTGCTTTGGCTATTTTCTGATAATTATAGAAAATAACAATTCCTCCTGCTCTGTGATTTTTTTTTTTAAATTGTGCCTATTTTACAATGGGAGAAAAGTAAACCTTTACCTGTGTGTTTATGTGGCTTTGTGGCACTAGCTTCTGGTTCATATCTAGTGTTTATTGCTGTGACCTCAGAGAAACTACACAGTGCTGTTGCTTTTTGGTTTGGAGTGGAAACTTTACAGCTGGCCTGCCAGACTTGTGATTTAGTTAATCTAGACTCTTCCTCTCTGGCCAACCAGGTCTCGTATTTGTTCTTTGAGCCCCTGCTTAGATGACACCCTCTTCTTAGGGTATCTTCTTCATCCAAATGTCTCTGGTCTTGCCAGCCACTGCCAGCCTCACCACATGCTGCTTCTTGGAAACAGCTGGCTGCACCTTCGCAGCTTCCCTGGGTAGCCTCAGTGGCTGTGGTCAGACCTCCTATATTAGAAGTGGTTTGTTTTTGTTTTTGTTTTTGTTTTTGGCTGGTTCATGATGCCTTCAGGGCAGGTCTGGTAAGGCTTGAGGATCTAGCCATTGAACCACAGCATCCTGATTGTAGAGACCCCCATGAAATCTAGTAAAATGCTGAGCAAGTGGGGTTTCTCTAGGACTTGGAAGGTTTGAAGCATCAACATGAAAACATGTTTGAGGGCCAGTCAAATAGCTAGCAGGTTAAAGCGCCAACAAGCAGGCCCAGGTTCGATCCCTGGGCCTCCCTTGCTGGCCCC